TTATATCCTCCATACTAAAGAAGACGACAAGTCGCCCCCAGCACAAAACAACAACACAGAGGCCAGCCGCAAACAGCCCCGCAACCGCCGAAACAGTCGCTAGGCCACTCGCAGCTTTTCTCAAAGCCGCCATTAATAGCCGAGAATCTTTTTGCACAGAAAGACAAAAATATGATCCTCACTTCAACAGTTCCACCTAAAAATAGGTAGATCAAGAAGCGAATAATAGAGCACGACGCAGCATACTTTGGGTTGTAGTCCCCTCCGCACGCCGCATAACTAGCCCCAGATCAAAAACGGTTCTACCCGAAATTGAAACTTTCCACCGGAAAAATCCAGCGCAAAACGCACCACAGAAGGTATCGCATAATGACACACAATCCGAAAACTGCACGAAACACTATACAACCAACCGCAGCACACCTTCGCACCGGCACCGACAGAGCGTTGATGTAGCACCTCGCAACGTCAGCAAACGCTTCCTCGCATCCAAGCACACACAGTCAGGTCACTATCCCGAAAGCACACACTCGTCAGCAATTCCACATCGCTTCAGCGCAAAATACCCAGAGCAACGCATAAAATGCGTCAAATAAAGCTATATTCTTATGCAGAGCATACGAGTACAACCTCAATTTCTGCACGCACGAAATAACCGCTCTAAGTTTCCCCAAAGCAATAATAACGCACGATTTTTAAAGGAATGTCTTAAAGACACGTCTTAGAAACAGCAGAACTATTCCTACAAAGACACATCTAAAAAACCATAAATCGCCAGAGTTCACTCAATCTTATCCTAAAATAAGACCGAGAAATCACCCTAAACAGCAAAGTAACGCCTCAAAAACCAACTATAATCTTAGAAACCCACACGCCATTTCCAAAATTACACTCAGTAACCGACTTGTCACCTCACATATACTAGGAAACCGTCACAAGAAAGATACTCGCTTTTGTTTACGTCGTCTTAACAAAAATTCCCGTTAATCTACAGCAGATTGACGGGAATTGAGTACTGCTGACAGTTACAGACTACTCGTTTAACATCTATTTATAGCTGGAAAAGTAACCGCCGCGCCAGCAGCTAGTCAGTATCTTTCAGTTTTGTTAGAACCCAGCAGTCACCCATAAAGTAATTTACATAAATTACCCGTTCTAAGTGCGAGAAGTTATTTTACTAAGTGCGAATAGTGCCTAAGTTCGTATTTTATGGACTAAGTGCGGTATTTTATCATTAAGTTCGCGTTAGAGGACCCCCCAAAATGAACATTTTCTTGCGTCTTGGGAAGAGTATTGTAGAGTGCCCCGTAAAACTTTGTGGTGTTAAGTATGATACTAAAACACACTAACTGCCCTAAGGATTCACGTCGATTTCATTCTAGGAGTCGAGATATGTTATTTTAAGTTTTTGGGATGTCATGGATGCAAATCGTTTGCTACAGGCTCAAGAACGCACTTTTTGTATACCATGTTATTTTAAGAAAATGTCCGTTTCGATGCGCTCTTCAAAAATGTTCGACTTGCGAACCATGATTTTCTGCGTCTGTGCCGCGTAATTCAGCAAAAAGAGCATGTAATGGAGTGAAATGAGAGGGTGTGTCATCTCTAAAGTAAAATCTTTAAAAGAGCATAGCTTAAGAACGGCTGGGAATAGGTGGCCGTTCTTTTTACCATCATGTGCGCCTAAAAAAAGTACACTATCGTGACAATCGATATCGGTCGATATGGTATAAATTGATAAAGTTATGCTCGATTATGTACGCGAAAACAGAAAAAGGGCGCTGGTGACAAAAAAAGTACTAACGATTCTGTTATTGTTTTGATATTCTGTCATCCCAGACTCTTGCGCATCTGGTGACCTATTTTTTATTCGCCAGTTCCGAGAAAAGTGTCGTTTCGATGCGTGGTGGGCCCGGGATGACAATTCGAGTTGAGTTGGAAGTTCATGTGAAGTCCTGGAAACAAGAAAAAAAGAAGATCCACGCTTCCCTAACTCAAAAAGTCATTAGAAACCGAGGGTAGCTTGTATGGAGACTTTTGTTCCTCGTGCGCTAAAACGCCGAATTAAATTTTTTATCTATACTTAACAGGAAAAAAGTTGCCTCCTTCGCGATATATAGGCAAATAAAGAATGGGTGCTATCATTTCGGGACAAAACAGGTGAAAATTTAGGTCGAAAAAAGTGTTTATAGACAAGGCATTTGAATTTAGCCAAAATCTGACTTGACCACGGGAATGCGCGCATAAAAGCACCCCTAGGGCAGTTTTTATACGGAGCAGTCTCATTTGCTTCCTGGATGTGCAGGGCCAAACATGGCCAAAAGTGGTGATTTTGGCCGTCCAAGGTGTCCATTTTCCGCGAAAATGGCGTTTTTTGGCGTCACTAAAAAAATCATTGCGAAGCAACTACTGGAGATATGCTTGTAAAACTTTGGGAGCGGTCGTGCGAACACATGCGCCAAGTTTTCTGCTAAAGTCTGCAGGCCAGATCTGCCGGGCGGCACATAAAACCGGAAAAAACCACCTAAAAAAAGAGCATGCCAAACAAAGTCTCACATTTCGCTGAATAACTTTTGATCTAGAAGAGTTAGACAAATTCTGATTGCGGGAACGGCTCCGCCGTGTGTTTTTACGTATGTCTATGTCCCGTAGATAAAAAGTACATGTTGCAAAAAAAGTACATGTTGTACATAAATCTACCTTTGATATTCGGATTCCCCGTGAAAAACTACGCCTAGGCCGCAGGGTTACAAAGACGAGTCATTGCACTTATGCCCTTTTATAGACGCTTTTAGAAATCGGCCAAAACAGTATTTATTAATTTAGACAGTGTTCCACTGACATGTCGCATGCTGCGATATGTCCACGTGAAAGAGCACCGAAAAGCACCCCTAGAACACCCTTCATACCCGTTCTAACGGTTCTCTTTCATCTTCATAATAATCAAATTAAAGAACACCATACAAAAAACAAGATCTCGTGTGTAGTGGCTCGCCAGGCATACTAAAACCAAGATGTCGTGTGGGCACATGCCAGACATCATATCTTGCGTTTGCAAACACACGCAAAGTCGGTAAACAGCTCAAAACGGGCTAAAAAGTAGACAGCACCCGGACTTCCCCGGTGGTCACCCACCCGAGTACTACCCGAGCTTGAGGCTGCTTAACTTCACAGAGCAGACGGGATATGGTGCTTTCAGCCTAAGATGGCCGTCTACATTTGACTTTGACCGACACACCTATTAGTGTTTATCACTCGTATACATTGGTACAACACATTTACACACTCACATGTCCACATACGTGGCCATAGACTGCACACGATGGCCCCCAATACCCCTTCTGGCCCTCAGAATTGGCTGGGTGGATGGCTACACTTTATATAGTAACAAAACAAAAAGGGGGGTGGTGTGGCGCACTCCAATACAAACGTGTGGCCAGCAGCTCACTCCGTCAAAGCAGCATACGTATTCTCTCCGATAGGAACCCCACACAGACCGACACCTTCATACACAGCAGTGCAGATAGCCGCCGCACCCCATATTTGCGCATACGCGGCCTGGAAACAATGTTAAACCACCAAAGTGGCCATTTACGACTTGCACAACCATACCTACGCTTCCTATGCGACATGACATGTGCACGTACGCGTCTTAGGCAATATGAACACCTTCGACACCTTCATACATGCACAGCGCGCGCTCCGCTTAAGTACGACACTAACTTGTCATATACATCATGCGTTTCCTCCCGTCACCTTTCATCACCTCCATATTCACACCCATGCGCCGTCACCTTCCTCGCGCCATCACCTTCACCATTTTCACCTCCATATCCGCGCTTCCTCCGCCGTCACCTTCCGCGTACGCGTCCATATTCGCTGCGTTTCCTCGCGCTTCCTGCCTGTTATTAATCCAAGCCAAAAACATCTCCAAACCCATACAATTAGAACAGCAAACAACTTCGCATTTTTTCACAAAGTCCTCAGCTTCATTTTGCATACTTTATCCTAGTCTAATTCACGCTATTCCGCTCTCTTTAACATACTTAAACTAAGTCTAATTCACGCTACTCTGCTCTCTCTAACATACTTAAACCAAGTCTAATTCGCGCTATTCTGCTCTCTTTAACATACTTAAACCAAGTCTAATTCACGCTACTCTGCTCTCTCTAACATACTTAAACCAAGTCTAATTCGCGCTATTCTGCTCTCTTTAACATACTTAAACCAAGTCTAATTCACGCTATTTCGCTCTCTTTTAACATACTTAAACCAAGTCTATTTCATGCTATTTCGCTCTCTTTTAACATAGTTAAACCAAGTCTATTTCATGCTATTCCGCTCTCTTTAACATACTTAAACCAAGTCTAATTCACGCTATTTCGCTATCTTTTAACATAGTTAAACCCAAGTCTATTTCATGCTATTCCGCTCTCTTTAACATAGTTAAACCAAGTCTATTTCATGCTATTCCGCTCTCTTTAACATAGTTAAACCAAGTCTAATTTACGCTATTTCGCTCTCTTTTAACATAGTTAAACCAAGTCTATTTCATGCTATTCCGCTCTCTTTAACATAGTTAAACCAAGTCTAATTCATGCTATTCCGCTCTCTTTAACATAGTTAAACCAAGTCTAATTCACGCTATTCGCTCTCTTTTAACATACTTAAACCAAGTCTAATTCATGCTATTCCGCTCTCTTTAACATAGTTAAACCAAGTCTAATTCACGCTATTCGCTCTCTTTTAACATACTTAAACCAAGTCTAATTTTACGCCCTGCCGTCTAGCTTGCCCTGTTAAACCCCCATACTAAAATCTCCGATTTTGGCTCAGAAATCATTAGCGCTGGCACTTAGCGATTTTCACGCAAAGTGTTTCTCGCTTTCTGCCTGTTATAAACCCGATACTAAGGTCGCCGAATTTGGCTCGGAAAACAATAGCAGCGGCACTTAGCGATTTTTGCGAACAAACCTCACTAAGCCAAAACAAAGACTTTG